AACATGCCAACATGCCTAGGCAAAGTCTCTGTTGGCACACATCTACAAATTCTTCTCAATGCAACCAGCACATGAGTCCAAGTCACAGAGTCTTTAACGCTAACTGAGACCGAGTCATTGCAAGATCTGTTCATAGGCACTTAGCACCTAATGGGTGGGGCACTGTCCTGGAAAGACAGGGATGCTGGGTTCGAATCCCGCTTGTGGATCCTTCTTTTGCAACAGTTTGAACAATCCAATGCTGGATCAAGGTTGTTTGTTGAACTGACTGTAGTTTAGGGAATTTCCCTGAACGTTTATGACTGTTTTTTTGGATTTTGGATTGCTTTATTTAACGTCGAATAACAAACAGGCAGTGTTGCCTTATTACATGAGATCGACTAAAGTTACTGTTGAGTCTCTTATTGACTTTTTTCACTTCTTCAAGCTATACAAAGTTATCCACAGTATTATTACTTTGAGTAGCATCGCTAGTTATACTTAAGTCAAAATAGTTTTCACCGTCAATAGAAGATCGGAAATGTCCGAGAATTTGGTGAATAACTGTTACAGTCCTTTCAGAATAAGATATGCCCTGGCCCTGGTGAGCTCCTGTATGTGGCGATTTTTTCGCGATTTTATCGAACACAGTGCAGGGCTGCAAAATTTGAAATTTGAAAATTTGAACCTATGACAATGCCAAGGTGTTTATGTTGGGGCGCTACAGAGATAGGGTGACCGAAATCATCAGGAAAGTGGAAGATGGGCACTGGATCTGTGGGAGGGGGAAAAAGGAGGAGCTCGGTTTTGCTCACATTTGGCTTAAGGTACCAAGTGCTCATCCAGTGAACAATGTCGTTGATACAGGTCTGAACTTTGGGGTACAGGGTGGCGTGAGATGGGGAGGAAGCAAGGACAGTGGTATCATCTGCAAACAAAGAAATATTGGGAATTGAATAGGGGAGGTCATTAACGTATGTGAGGAAGAGCAGGGGATCTAAAATGGAGCCCTGGTTGTGTGCAAGTTTGCAAAGGAGCAGTTATAGACATGTACATGTACATGCAATTTGTGATGCTGTGATGTGCAGCAAAGATCAAGAATAACACCCTGCACAAGAGGACAAACTCAACACCACTTGGTATCTCGATCCTGGGAGCCCACTGGCGTCTGTTTGGGCACGTGCTGCGGCTGGACCAGAGTGCACCGGCGAACCTGTCAATTATGTGCTCCTACTTCAAGCCATCCACTGAGCCTACCTGGAGGGGCAGGCCGCGCACAAATCTGCCGGTCGTGCTCAAACACGATCTCGAGCTGGTTGGGAGGACCCTCAAGACCTCGGCAGATCTTGAGGAGCTGAGGAGCATCGCCCAGAATCGCGGGGCGTGGAGCTACCTCAGCGGCCGTATCCTGGAGAGACATGTTGCTGCTCACAGATGAACCCTGGTAATGATCAGCAAATTCAAATTCAACTCGATTGAGCTGCTCGTTTGCTCGTTTGCTTGTTTTAATTGTATTCTATTTTCGTCACGCGTTTTATATCGCATATGTTTTATATCGCCATCAATATCCTGTTTGGCTGTTGTCGCTTCGGCTTATGCGAAAGCTATACATGCTGTGTAAATCTACATTGCATTGATGCCAACGCGGAGAAGCTTCTAATAATAATAATAATAACGAGAGAGCTTGGAAGCTCAGGGCCCTACGCTATGCTTTTTCGCCTCGATGACCTAGACAAAAAAGCATAGGGATGTTATAAATTCTTATAAGGCGAGACCAAAAAAAATAGAGATTCCCGGGCCCTCCCGCACCAAAATCGAGCCAAAGCCAATACATATATAGAGGTTATGCGAAAGGATCACGTGCAGGCGGCGTGTAGGCGGCCAAAGCGGCCGCGCTCCGCAGGGGTGGCAAAAGAGATGAAAAGTTCAAAAGAAGTACATGTGCCTGGAATAATTTCACGAAGGAAATTTCCTGTATCGCTGTTACGTTCCTCTTCTGTTCTTTACAAAGGACTATTGTACGAACGCTGAATCAGTGGCCATGACTTCTCCCGAGTTTTCAAAAGTGTATGACGAGTTAGATGACTCCAGCAAATGCCGGTACCGTGAAAAGCTCGAGCGCGTTGCACCAGACTCGAGTGATCCTTACCTGCCCAGAAGTATTTTTTTAGGGGAAGATAAATTTCCACTTGTGGACTATCCCGATATTTACAATTTCTTGGTCAACGCGCCCAGCCCCTACACCAAGGAGCAGCTCAAGGCCTACAAGAGCTTGGAAGGCTACAAATACCTTGTCAGTGGCTGGGTCGGCGATGTTCGTGCGTTTCCAGCGTCTGAATCTGACACATGTGACAGCAAGTTTGTCATCGCCAAAGTCCGCCATTCCCAGTCAGTTTCCGGCACCCATCTGCAACCCTGGATTGCTGCGCAAAACGACGGTAGCGTGATTTGTGCACACTGCACCTGCATGGCTGGTCTTGGTGAGTCTTGTTCTCACGTTGCTGCACTGTTGTTCAGCCTGTATTCTAGAACGCAGCTGATTCAGAACACAGGAAGCACTTCATTGCCGTGCCAATGGTCAACTCCTTCAATGAAGGAGGTGGAGTATGCCAGGATTCGTGACATAAACTTCACTGCACCCGACACTAAACAGCATGGGAGCAAGCGCCGTAGGTCGGAGGAGAAGGTCCCTGCTGATATTAAGCAACCCTCCAGTGCTGAGCTGGGTGAACTATATGGAAATTTATGTCAAGCCGGTAAACCGTCATTACTCTCCCTTGTTCCCGGGTTCTGCGATAGGTACGTACCTTCCAAGCCCGAGGGATATCCACCCATTTTGGATTTATTGTACGAACCAGACATGCTGGATGCTAGTTTTGGGGACCTGCTCGTTCGTTGCGAGGCAGTATTTCCAGCGGTCTGTGTTTCAGAGGAGGAAGCACGCGCTATGGAACAGGCTACGCGGAACCAGGCAGATTCCAAGGCCTGGTTTGAATTTCGCGCCGGCCGGATCACAGCTTCAAAGTTGAAGTCTGCTGTTCGCACGGATATTAGCCAGCCCTCTGCGTCCTTAGTCCGCTCTGTGTGTTACCCTGAGGCACACAAGTTTCGTAGCAAAGCCACACAATGGGGATGTGATCACGAGCAGAAGGCAATTGACAACTATAGTGAACATGCCAGTGCAACACATCAGAAGGTTGAAGTACTGCCCAGTGGCTTTGTAATTCATCCGGACTATCCATATCTTGGCGCTACTCCCGACTCCCTTGTGCAGTGCTCCTGCTGTGGCAACGGCGTGGTGGAAGTGAAGTGCCCGTACGGGTGCCGAGACAGTAGCCTGCATGATGCTGCCGATTCAGGGAAGTTCTGTCTAGTAAAGTCCGGCGGAGCACTCCATCTTAAGCAAGACCACATGTACTACTACCAAGTACAGCTACAGATGCTGGTGTGTAAGGTGCAGTACTGTGACTTTGTTGTGTGGAATGAAGGTCAGCTGTTTGTGGAGCGTATCTGTGCAGACACAGATTTCATCCGTGAAGCGGTAGCAGGTGCCAAGAAATTCTTCCAGTGTGCTGTTCTCCCAGAGCTTGTTGGGAAATGGTTCACTAAGACGTTCTCCACTCTTCCTGCCGATGCGTCTTCAGCGGCTACATCAGCCTCGGAACCACTTGGTGCTGCCAGTACAACATCTACTGCGGATCAAGAACGCCCTCCGGAGTTTTGCTACTGCAAGTCTGTGAAGGCTGGCGAGGTACTGCGATGTTCCAACAACGATTGCAGTATTCGTTTGTTCCACATGGCTTGTTTGCAGCTGAAGAGTAAGCCAAAGCGCAAGAACTGGACCTGCCCGGAGTGTCGCAAGATTAAATCTGCCACTAAATAATGATATGCATGTACAATTACAGTGGTAGCGACTTCGGCGACAAGTTTATAGGAATGTTGGTCGCTAAGCACAATGTTCGTCAGCCTACTCAAGCTCAACTGCATGAGGGGTGAATTCCCCGAAACACTGTGTATTGAGCAGGGAGTGGTGCTTTCTTGCAGGTTTGCCGGAAGGAGGGCTCGAGGGACTTCTTCTCTGCTCTAGATGGCAGTTGTGAGTCAGTCAAGTGTCTGGATGGAAGTCGTGAGTTTGTCAAGTTTCTAAATGGCAGTCGTGAGTCAGTCAAATGTCCAGTCAAGGCGGCAGGAAAGCTCGACCTCTAGTATGGGGTGCAACCAACTTTCCATGTACATAGTCATTTTTGTCGTAGCATTTGTAAATCCAAGTCTCAAGCATTTGAGAAGTGATTATATTCATGGAGCCTGCTATTCTGGTATTTCTAGAGTTGCATTTTCAACTTGTTCTGCTGTGCCTTCCACGGTACTTGCTGTTGCACTTGCCACGTGTGTGCATACAATCGGTGGCTGGGCTTTCACAACGATTTCCGTTACCTTTCTTGTATTTCTTTGCTTGCATGTATCTCTGAAGGACCATAATGCTGATTCGTATTTGTGGGTCCCAGGACATGCGTGAAGACCACTCACTGCTTATGCATGTGAGCAGAGGAACTCCATCATTACACATCAAACACTTCGCTCTTTACGTCTCTTCCGGGTGATGTTGGCATAAGTTGAGTTGTTCTTTGGTGCTGGGCATACTACATCTGATGGTACATCGCACACTACCCAGCACCCTAAGTTGGGTTTCAGGGCTATTCATATTATATTGTGTTGTCCCTATTTGGACCACGAGTCATTATATTGATGCAACAAGAAACGCAGGCATGTCGTGAGTGATGATAGAAGCCATTATTATTACTATTATTGTAAGTCTGTTGGTGTTGCCATGACCAAGCAAGCTTGGCTAGCCAGACAAAAGAAACTAGAAACAAGCGAGGTCAATGAGGTGAACACATGCGCATGCAACTGCAGAATAGGTAAAACAGAAATATAATTGCCGGTATATCCAGACAGTCCAAAAAGCACAAGGGGTTAATAATATAGCAATCATGACAGCTGACAAAGCGGCATGATGTAATTTACTCGAAAGGTACGACGGACTCACAACAGTTGCACAGAGCACAGCAGACGGTGACAACCTTGTCAATGAATGCACATGATGTAGCTTTATCGTCATGCATGAGGAAAGCAATGGGCAAAGTGCCAGAGAGGATCGTGTATTTCTGGCGAAGCATTCCAATCACTCGCTCCACATGGATACGGACGCGTGACACTTGTCGAGCACTGTCCAATTTCAGCCTGGAGAGTTGCTTCTTCCCCTTCGTAAATGGGGGCATCACCAACTCTGCGCAGAACATGCCAACGCTGTCTTCAACAGTGAAACCACGGTCAGCCAGCACCTGGTCACCCGGATTTAGGTGACTAAGCAGACCGCAGTGCTCTGTGATGAACTTGTCTGAGGCTCTCCCGCCCCATGCATGCGAAATAAATGTAATGACACCTTGTGGCGCTACGCCAATCAAAAACTTTGCAGTGTTATGGCTTTTATAGTGAGAGTACGTTTGAGCTCTTGCCATCAGATCAGAAGGTCGTTCACAAAAAACTTCAAAGCAGTCAATAATGACAGCACAGCCCGGGAAATGCTTACGAAATTCAAGTGGCAGAGTTTTGCGTAGTTCGTCTCTTTCCGGCCATTTGACAAGTGGTCCCAGCATCACATGCATCACCCGGATCCAGCGCTGGAAAATCCGGCACACGGTCGACTGGTGAATGCCGAATCTGTACGCCAAGTCTTGGTCCCGACAATTCAGCCGAAGCTTCATGAGAACAATCAAGAACTGCTGGAAGAGAGAGAGCGTGTGGCGGTGGTGCTGTGGAACTCTCTTCCTCACGTGTTCAAATATGCCCATCATGGTCCCAAAAGACTGCAAACCAGTGTAGAAGAGCACCTTCGCGTTGTCTTTCTCAAACGACTCGATTGACAAGGTGTCACCTTGTCCTGGAGCGTGTGGCATCCGTTTGCTTTCCAGGACCAAACAGTTGTTTGTCTCCTCCAGCCGCGTCAAGTGCTCCATATCCATGTCAGTCTGCGATGAGACACTGGAGACTGCTACAGGATCAGACTCTACCTCTGCACCATAGGCACCAGGCAAATCTGCCATTGCCTCTGTGAAGTCATTCCCGGAGGCGTCCACTTTCACTGGTGTCTGCGTCTTGCTCTCCTCGAACGTCAGCTTCCGCTTCGCTCGGCGTTCATATGCCACCAAATCCCTCTCCGCTTTACGCTTTACAGGAGTCCTGACATGTTCAAAAAGTTTCGGAACGTAAGCGGGAGATAGTGGATCGTTGCTCTTCTCTGCGCCTACGAAATGGTCTGAACAGATCCTGCTACTGTCAGTTGGCTTCCAATTCTCTCGTCTCATAGCCGCAACCCATAGTTTGCGCCGCTCGTCCGCTACAGGAAACTTGTAAAACTTCACAGCCGTTCCAGGATCGGCACGATTGCTACATCCGACGGCTGCACAACTCTTCGGCATGTTGAAGGCTAAAAACTTCAGCAAGCGAGACACCAGCGGAAATCAAAATAAAAGTGAGGAACGATATGTCGACAACCAACAACAAATTTTACTTTTCCTCTCAAAGACTAGTAAAAAATAGTTCAAGCAGAAACGACTTCATTTTGCCACCCCTGCCACTCGCAGCCGCCTTGGCGCTCCTCGTGACGTCATTCGCATAACCTCTATATGTAGGACTCAGTGAGCAGTCTAGGCCTTGACGGATTATGCTAATATTTTCGTGAAATTATGCTTTTCGCATTGCTGAAAAAATGGCAGAATTATGCTATTTTTATGCTAAAAGTTATCATATTATGCCGCATCATGCTCACATATGCTGCTAATGTATATGATGATTCTGTTCAAAATAACAGGGGAAATTTTTGTAGAGGGCGTTGTACCGTAGTAGCAAAAGTTCAACGGGGTCAACGCACCGTCCGACACTGATTGTAGTGGACTAGATATGTTATCAAGGGAGTCGTAAACCTACGACTTTTTTTCTTTTTTTACTGAATACCACAGTACCATCAGATGCTGCACAGCGGGGGCGGTGGCATATTGGATGGAAGTGGGGGCGGGGCAAAAGTAACTCCTCCGACCAAAGGTCTCGGAATCATTGTTACTCCTGTGCGCCGATACATAGGAGAAAAGAAACATGTGCATCCAAGAGGGGAGCACCGGCTTAAACGCGGCTTTGCAAACGATAATGGGGAGAATTTGAGACTGAGATAGGACAAAACAATAGTAAAAGCAGTGCACCATAGGAAGATGGAGTGAACTGATAATCGGATTTTAAGGCTGAGCGAAGGGGATCAAAGAGGGGTAGAAGGGAGCTGGAATGCGGTCAGTATAATTAGGCTGGTGTGTTGGCAGAGATCATAGCCTGTCTGTGGCCCACTCCCACTTGCTGCGCTGCAAGTGGTCGTTGACGTTTTTCTTGAACGTGCGCATACCTCTGCGGGAAGGGGGAGACTGCAGAAGGGTAGGTGGGAGCTGATTCCACGTTCCGATGGGGGAGTGGGGAAATGAGCGGAGCGTGTTGTTTCGTGCCTGAGGAGGAAGAATACTGGTGAGTTGCGATGGATGATGTGTTGCAGATCTGGTTGTCTCACGAGTAGACATGCGGCATTGCGGTGCGGCTGCTGATGGTGGCAGAATGGCTTTCACCATTTCCGGACCCTCCACAAAGTGCAGCTTGTACAGAAAGCAGAGCCCTGCTACGGTACGGCGAATGTCGAGGCTCGGGAGGTATGATCCATCTCCAATTATGTGCAGGGCACGGCGCTGGATGGCAGTGAGGCGGGCCAAGGTGGTGGGGGCTGCGCTCATCCACACCAGCATGCCATACTCTAACACAGGGCGGACAAAGCCACGGTACACGATTGCCCGGTGCTTTGGGTCTAGCACAGCCGATGCCTTACGGAGGAAGCCGAGCCGCTGGGCTCCGCGTACTACAAGCTGTCGAATATGGCTGCCGAATGCCAGCTGCCTGTCGAAGGTGACGCTAAGAAGCTTGAGCTCCTCTACTTCTGGCACGACTGCTCCTTGGAAGCGTATTGCGTTCGGGGGGGGGGGGGGGTTGGCGAGCGGTGGTGGCTGATGGTCAATGCCTGCGACTTTGTGGGCTCGAACTTGATCCTCCACCTGCTTCCCCATGCTGCCAGTGAGTCTACTGCCTGCTGGAGGATTGCTGTCTCTTCTGGCAGTCTGAGTCGGGTGGTGATGCACTTGTAGAGAGTTGTGTCGTCGGCGTATACAGCCAGCTTCGCCCCATCAGGCAGGTGGTCTTCTGCGTCGTTGACGTACAGAAGGAAGAGGGTGGGGCCGAGGATGCTGCCCTGTGGCACGCCAGATTGGATTCGGTGGGTCGGTGAAGACTGGCCACCTATGACGACACGGATGTGGCGGTCTGTCAGGTAACTCCGGAGCCAGGCAAGAAGGAGGAGGCCACTTATGCCGCACCGCTCAGCCTTGTGGAGGACGCCGTTGTGCGAGACCTTGTCGAAGGCCCTGACAATATCTACTGCGAGTACCCTGACGAGGCCTCCACTGGCAGCTGCAAGGCTCCACTCATGCTGAAGAGCAATCAGCAGATCAGAGGTTCCCAGTCCAGTGCGAAAGCCAAACTGCCTGTGAGAAAGGATGTCATTCTTCTTCAGGAAGTTGGACAGGCTGCGGTTCACGATGGACTCCATACACTTAGACATTATGGGCAGTAGTGATATCGGTCGGTAGTTTCTGGGGTTCGACTTGGGGCCTTTCTTGTGTACCGGTACGACGTTGGCAACTTTCGACATGGCAGGTTGATGACCACTGCAGAAGCACAGGGCAAACAGCTTGGATAGGGGCAGGGCCAGAGAGTCGGCACATTTTCTCAGCACTCTAGCAGGTACTGCATCAGGCCCTGTGGCTTTACTTGGGTTCAGGGCTCGGAGTGTCCGGCGTACGATGGCTTGGCGGAAGTGGACTGTTGCAAGCGTATTTGCGGTGCGCTGGCGGACATGCGGGAACGGCCCCGACTGTTCTGCAAAGTCATCGTCTAGGCTGCACTTCTGGGCAAAGTACTTCCCTATGACGTTAGCCTTGTCGTGGCTTTTGGTGCATTCCATGCCATCGGGGTCAACCAGGACTGGGATGGAGCTGTCCCGGCCATGCCCTCCAACTCGTTTAATCACGCTCCACCACTCTCTGTCCTACTTCTACTTCCTGGTGCATCTACTTGTACTTGTACCAAGAGTATATGGGGGGTTATATACTCTTGCTTGTACTTGTAAAACACGTACAACTGATGCGAACAGTCGGATTATTCCAATTTATGCGATTCGCATGCAAATTGCCTCGAATTACGCGCTTATTCGATTTTGGTAGGAATTATGCGGAAAATTATGCTAGCATAATCCGTCAAGGACTAGACCAGTCACGTCTCGATGACCGATCACGATCCCCGTGACCAATAGGCCTTGACGGATTATGCTATTATTTTCGTGAAATTATGCTTTTCGCATTGCTGAAAAAATTGCAGAATTATGCTATTTTTATGCTAAAAGTTATCATATTATTATGCCGCATTATGCTCACATATGCTGCTAATGTATTATGTATATGATGGTTCTATGCAAAATTGCAGGGGAATTTTTTTGTAGAGGGCGTTGTACTGTAGTAGCAGAAGTTCAACGGGGTCAACGCACCGTCCGACCTAGCTACGATGCGATGCGAACAGGCGGATTATTCCAATTTTATGCGATTCGTATGCAATTTGCCTCGACTTATGCGATTATTCGATTTTGGTAGGAACTATGCGAAAAATTATGCTAGCATAATCCGTCAAGGCCTAGTGACCAATCAAACAGTCACAAATCCCCGAAGAGCAGTCATAAAGTCACACACCAGTTTGAATCCCGATGACCAGTCAGAAACAGCTGCGACTTTCTCTGTGAACGGTCACAGGATCCACGTCAAAATATTACGACTCAACTGTAGGCATTCACGCGATCAGGATACTTTTTCCTTCACAGGTTTCCATGGTTTCAGAAGTGAGCAAGAAAGATTTCGATCAACTCTCGATCTCCGCGTAGTTTACTTGTAGCTCGAGTCTGGTGTGTGTGGGCTCCTTTCCAAAACGAAGGGTGGTCGAAAATCTTGCAGGCTTCAGATTGAATCTCTTTTGAGAGGACGTTCTGGCTAGTAGATTGTGCTATTCAACATATTTGAAGAACAAACTTCGTCGTTCAGAAAAGTTATTTCGGAATATTTTCAGTCATGTAAATGTTTGCATGCCGATCTTGCAAGAACGGAAACTGACTTCAACTCATCCAGCGTACAAGCAGCACTCGCTTTGTATTTTTGGAGAGGATGGGTGACAAGATTACGGAGTCAGAAGTGGACATCGCCGACGATGCAGAGACGAAAATATAATGAAGATGGAAATGAAAATATGTTCATCTCCAAGAAGGTACTGAGTACATCAAGCACCTTCGTGTGTGTAGCTCTGTCTTTCTTGTGGAAGACTCCACAGAAAACAATGTCCAGCTTGTTGAAACTGAAACTGCCTCTCAGTTGAAGTCGTTCAGGGAAGACGTCTATTCAAGACATCATTGATCCATTCTCAAGAACCATCGTAAGAAATTAAATCAAGTCATGTTAGCGATAAGAATGGCGACCTAGACCAGAGAAGTGTGAGTGTCTTGTTTTGACTACAGGAAACTGTATTTCAATATTGTGGAACAACGTAGTGCTTACGCAGTTTATTGCTTCGAACACATCTTCATTCCTACTCCCACAATTTATTGATGTAACATTATGGTACATGGTCTTTCTCGTTGTGCTCCTATAACGTGTATTATAAGTACATGCATACGAGTACTGTGTACCGTTTACTGTCTCCTTGTCAGCGTTTTTGGGCCATCCTCCACACCTTCATTTGTCCATTACGTATTTTCCTTCTAAGGCGAGACCAAAATAAAATAATCGAGATTCCCGGGCAGGACCCATGTGAAATTGGTGCGGGCGGGCGAATTTTTATTTTTTTCTCCTATGGCTACCGGCTGTGTGTATGCGCATATGCGCATGCCATGCCGAGCTTTTTTTTTACAGTATTTTCCATGCAGTCATATTTATTTATTTTTATTCAATTTTCACAAAAAACAGGCACGCGGTTTACCCGTTCGATTTTTCTGTATTTCGGCCAACGATGGTCCTGATCTGTACATCAGGGAGTCGTACAAGCAAAGCTCGGGTTTGTGTGACTCCACGTCACAGATCTACTCACACGATTAGTACTGTACATGTATTATGAACTGTTCAAAAACAATTGGCCTTGGCTCGATTTTGGTGCGGGAGGGCCCGGGAATCACTAATTTTTTTGGTCTCGCCTAATTATTAATTTTATAGAAATATTCACTCACTACAACTTCTTGTGATTGCTGGTGCGAACTATGATGTAGCCTGCGATGCCTGCTTTTTAGTGAGAGTGCACCAGACAT